GCTGGGTGTTTTTGTAATAAAATCATGGATGTTCTTGGTTTGTTTTTTTTCCTTACCAATTAGTTCTTTTACTGGTTTTCAGAYATTATATTTTAAGGACCTGACTCGTCTGTAGTGACATAGCCAGCAGTATGATCTCCAAAGAAACAGTAACTAACATAGCTTGGTAGATCCATTAAAGCATTTTATAAGGTTTTGCCCTGAAGTGGATCAGGAAAGTCTTTAAATTGTGATCGATAGCACCGTGGGTTCTGCATTGTGTTCAGAAATGTGATTGTTACACTCCTGTGGCCCTTGGGGATCATGGAAATCGATCGAGCTTCCCAGAGGGGGAATATTGCMCAGCAGGAGGAGGAGATGCCAACAGTGAAAGCAGCAAATGTGAATTCTTGTACAGCATTCATGTGCCCCAAGYGAATTCACAGAAAAGCTTTGGAAGTCTCCSTGCCCTGMAGAGCTCAAARGTTAATGCAGGGCTTAAGGAATGGRACTSGTTTCYGTTCCTGTTTCTCCTGCACTGCCTGCATGAGGCAGGGRGAGCCTGGCCCTCCTCCTGCAGCATCCCTGGGTGCTGGAATRCACACTGACCTTGCTTGGTGCTTGGCTCACTGTGCTCTTACAGAATTTTTATGGTTTCTGAACTGAGATGGAGTGCATGCCGATTCTTGTTACTAAAATGTGACAGCAATCCTGATGCTAATTTCAATTAATTTAAATTCATTCTTTTCTAATAAAGGCTCCAGATAAGCTGCAAGAGGAGATAAATCCTTGATGGGATGATTTGAGTAATGGCTATGCAGATGCTGTCAGTATCCTGCTCTCAAACATATTGAGTTGAATTTCTTCAGAAGAGTGAGGTCAGACCTGCTACTCCAGCATGAACACTGAGACTTAGGACAGGAGCAGCAGCTAACCAAAAGTATTTAATAACTRCAGTGACTCCCAGCTTCACTTGTAATGCTCTAGAGAGACCAAGTGACTAAAATAGTATTGGTAATTAATAGTGCTCTTAACARCCCAGCTACTTCTCTAGGTCAGTCCCTTGATATTGAAAAATTCTCTGCACAGACAAAAAAWTCAAGGCAACTTTGCATCTTGGCTGTTCCTGCTGGGCTGAGCTCAAGCGTTTGACTTTTGGGAGAGGCAAATCTGAAGAAGCACCAGGGGAGACAATGTGGAGCAGCTCTTGTGGGTTTCCTCACACACCCTTTGGGATTGCAGCTGTTCACAACTCCCTTATCTGGGATGTTTTGATTTGTTGCTCTTGTTTGGACTAAGCCAAGCGAAGCTGTTCCTGTGCTTATGCATTAGGGAAGCTGGTGTGGAGCATTTAAGGACTTGCTGGCATGAAAAGTTTAGGAATGGGTGGAGGGAACTGMTGGGAGTTTTGAATCACCAGAAAGAAGCAGAAGGAATAGAGGCACTCAGGGGGTCAAGGCAAGGATGGCAGAGTGGCAGGAAGCAGGGGCTGGGAGGAGGCAGTTCATGTGAACCAAGAGCAGTGCTGTGCACAGGGCTACTCAAGGGGCCAGCTCTGCCTCCCCTTCCCGAAGGAACTGAGATTTGGGCTGTATCAGATCCCACCTTGCCAGGTGCCCTTGTTCCTTGGAATAATTCCGTGTGGTTTGATACAGATCCTGCATGTTGGCAGCATGTGTGMTGGTCCATCATTTTGGTTTCATATGATAAAGTGTTTGATATAAAGTGCACTTGCATTTTTAATAAAACACGTGCATATGATCCCCTTCTGATGTGTGCCTTTTTYCTTTGTAGAGAAATAAGGAGTTTGTGTGTGTGTGCTTAACTTGATTATTGCAGTATTGTCCACAGTATTTCATTTGTTTGCACTTAATAAAGCTGATTCTTGTCTTTCTGGAGGTGAAGCTGATGTTTCTTCCCATTTTGTTCAGGCCTTCAAGCAGTCCCTGGGCTCCTGTGAAGGCTCCAGGCAGTGCTGYATAGATCAGTGCTGCTGTGTAATACTAGAACCCTCTGTTCCCCAAAATGCAGTTCCTGTCAAGAAAAAGCAATCTTCTGTGGCCAGGAACTGTTACATTTCTAATTCTAAACAGATTTTTTTTTTCTGAAATAGTAATCATATGGTGTGTGAGAACTGATTCATGTGATCTTGATCATTTATATTCCAAGGCTCCCATCCAACYTGTTTAAAACAAAAYCTTTCAGCACTGCARGAAGATGGTGATTCATTGTTASTGGGGGSTGGCTGGAGGTTAGGGGCAGCTGCTGTTTTCCAGAGGGGAATGGAGAGTTGCTGCCCCCTTCACATTGACTTTCTACCTGCTGTTAGAACCAGTTAATTCTTAGCAGAGTAGTTAAGTAGTTTAAGTTAAACCAGAACTTCTGTTAGGTTTTGTGTTAGATGTCTCAAAACGTAGAGGGAGTAAATCTGCATGTGTGAGTAAGTGCTACTCTTACTTTGAAAGAAATGTTATATCCAAGCCCTCTCTGCTTACTTTGTCTAGAGTATTTGGTCAAGGACCAAGTTGTCTGATCTGGCACAAATCAGACAATTTTACATAGGCTGGTTTTATTCAGAATAATTTTTGGTGTCATGATGCAAGAAATATCATTCCATGCTAGTTACAATTGTTCTRTGTCAACTTTTGCCCAATAAACACCTTTATTACACCAGTTCTCTCTGCCTGACTCTGTCATAGTCTGGCACAGCACCTGTAGCCAAATAAATACCTCACTGTGTGTGTCTGAGCAGTTAAAATATCAATTAGCTCTGGTTGGTTYTTTTCTTGTAAAGTGTGGACCATGATGTTTCAGAGAGAAGGTAAGGCTGAAGCAGAACAAGGRGAAATGAAAAATGGAGCTTGCTGGAGGTATGTTACTCTTAAGCATTAAAAATAGGCTCAGTGTAGCAGAGGGCTTTGTAACAGGCCAGGATAAAACCAGTTCACCCAGGGAGAACTGCACCCATAAAGGGATTTGCTTTTGTGGGGAGTGTATGTGTTACTTGGGAGGGTTSAGGTACAACTTAAATACCATATTCTTTGCCTATGTGAAGTCTTGCTGTAACTAATAAAGTCACTGTAAAAATGTTTTATCTGCCAAAGCTTATGTCCAAAGCTGTTGTGATGTTTGTGGGGATGTCTGTTTTTCCAGCAGGCAAAAGCATTTTTCCTCATGATCTGGAAAAAACCAAGTGCTTGAAACAGCAGGAAAGGTAAGCTGGAGTTTGGAGAGTAGGTCACTCATTGTGGTGTGAGATACTGTTATAACAGTGTTCTGAACTACTTGTAATGGTTTAATGTAATTTTTCTCTTTCATGCATTAATGAACTCCCCTTGAAATTTTACTCCTTTAGTTATTTTAAAGTACTGCATTATTGCAATTCTGGAAGCTGGTTTGAAGTGCCTTAATGTTTTACACCTACACTATACATATATATTCCACTGAGAGCATGTTTCATTCTAGTAGTATCATCCTTCAGCAAGACATTTAATTTAAATACCAATCACAAAAAAACACTGCATGATTATGCAATGTGCAGTTTGATCAACTACATAATCAAACTGGCCTGATTCTCTGTATTCCCTTTTCCCCTCTGCTCATCTCTCAGAAAAACYGTAGCCCTTGAAATCCTTAGTGTACCCTGTCTCTTGCAGGGCAGCTCTGCTGCATCCACAAGTAGGGAGGCTGTGGAAATAATTYCACCCTTCTGCTTCTATGGCTGTAGAAACCATTTGTCTTATCACACCTTGGTTTCCACCCAGCTCAAGCRGCCCCCCTGGGACCAGACTGTCCCTGCAAACCTGTGTTAGTTTATGGGTTTTTTTTCCCTGTTTTTAGCACAAGGATTGTCAACAGATGAGCTGTGAAAGGGAAGAGGAGAGAGATCTGTGAGCAGGATCTGAATGGATTGGAGAGAGTATTGGGTTGGCCAGGAATGGGGTGGGGGCTGTTTGCCACTCTTGGAGGGACTTGGTTGTGCTCCTCCTTTGGACYTCACTTTCCCCTCATTCCTCAGTATGGGTTTCTTACTGATCATAAGCCTAGAAAGTAATACAAAGCTGTATTTAAAAGTTTTAYTGGTTTTTGAAACTGTCAATGCAGTTACTAGCATCATTAGTGAAATGTGGTGGGCTGATTTTCTGGGCTGCTGAGACCTGCAGGTCCAGCTGGAAGARGTAAACTCAGGAGATCAGCAGTTCTTCACACTGTGCTTTGAGATAGACTTTTTTACTCTCAGCTCTGATGGTCTTTCACCACTCCCCAGGGAATGTTCAGTGATATTTAGTGAGGGTTCTCTGAGCCGTTTGATGATTTTGTACTGTTTGAGTTTGCAGCTGAGATTTGCTTCCGAGMATCAGCTGTAGAAAGATGAATAATTAAACTGCAGACAGGAAGCACAATATTTTAATACTCTGTTACTTCAGAGCCCTCTGGTTTTCTTTTTTATGATGTCTGAGTCTGCAGTGGCTTGACCAAATGACAGATCTTGGCATTCACTACCAGCTCATGTGTCCAGAGATGCACTYGGAGGTGTTGAATGTGAAGCTCAAGCCAGCTCTGCTCATTATAGTGACCAAATCTGGCTACTTATACACAGTAGGAACAAAAYTGGACTCTGGATCTTTGGGACTCAATAAAACTTACTGTAGTGTGTTAGTTTCAGAAGTTCTTGCCTGTACTGAGAAAGTCTGCTTGCCTTTYTTGCTACTGCTAGAACCTACTTAGGATGTTTTTATGTTTTCTTGTCCAGRGTTAGTCATGAAAAAAACTGCCAAGTAAGGCTTTGTAGAAAACATGACTGGTGCACTGAATTAGCCAGTWAATAAAAGCCTCTCACAATGTCATTCTGAAATGGATGGGTATTGTTTTTGGAGATGAATCAGAAAGGTTGGTAGAGGRCCCTTCCTGCCAGCTCTCATGCACATCTGGGGATTTAGGATTTTCTGAAAAGACCCTCATATTTTAGGAAACAATCTTCAGCTTGGGAGAAKTCAAAGCCTTTGCCTACTATAGCAGTAAGCAGAATTTAATAAACTGCAGGGGTGCAGCACTGCTCTCAGCATTTCCCCAGAGCATTATGCYCACATATGGAGTCTGTGAACTTCCAGCTCAACTGCAGAGGCAAATGGAAACTTAGAGCCAGGTCAAAAAGGCTGTGCAAAAGAGGCTGGAGAGCAAAACCAGATGGATCTTTCACTAACAGAGACTYTGGTATTCACTGGAGGAAAGAAATCAGCTATTCTATAGACTAGGACAATGGAGTAAACAGTTTGCTCTAGTTCTGTGTTTTTCATCAGGGTATGTGCTGGCACAGACTGTGTCAACACAGATGTTGAACAGCAACTTTGATCTGGGACAAAATGCACTCATTAATGCTGTRTTGTGGGTAGATTGCAGATCTGAAGACATTATAGAGGGAGGAGCCAATCTCTGCATCTTCAAGTTTAAARGGAAGACCTTAATAAGGACTGCTGAACCTGACTAGCTGCCTCGTAGGAAATTGTAAGGTAAACTGTTTATTTTTTTCCCATTGCCATTAAATTAAATCCAGCATAAGGAAGTACTTACCAAACTTAAAAATAATRAGTAATGTATTTTTCATGTGACTGTCCTCATGAAAAATCCCTGTGGTTTTAGTCTTACATGTGTGCAGGTGTACTTGACAAAATCACTCTGACAACTAGAGGCACATCAGCATGCTGTCTTTTAATGCTGGTATAAATAATTTCCCAAACTGTAAACTAGTCACAGGTAATACATTTCTGTGCAATCTCATAAATACACAAGTACCACACATGTTAGCAGACAGGGGCAGGGGTGACTTTCTCCTACCAGTGAGGCTTTAGCTTAGTTCCACACCCTGCAAAGCTTCYTGTGAAGCTCATGTAAAGATTTTGTATTTCAGGATCGCATCCTGAAAATGTCCCAGATGTGGAAATCTTTCCATTTCTATATTGCTGACCTTTCCTTGGAAATACATTGTTGTAAGGCTTAAACTCATGATGAAGATGAACAGTGTGTGAGGCTGTTGTTCAGTCTGCCCAGCGACACTCCCAGCCTGCTGTTCTCTTTGTGCATTGTTAGTACTGAGCCCAAACTGCTGCAGGGTGGGAGGGAGGTTACACAAGSATATGAAATGCAGCTGTGCCACAGGCTCTGTGCAAGGCAAAGCAACTCTGGGCTTTTATGGCTGATTGTAGTTTCCTTTGAAGCTGTGTGGATGTGCCATCCCACAGGGTTCTCTGATGGACAGGAGTTTTGTTGAGAGGGAGGGAATTGCAAAAGAAGTAACAAATATAGTATCAGAGGTGAATTCAGGCCTTTTGCCCCATGGATTTCATAGCTTTTTAACCCTCTTTTAGAGGAATTTCTTTCTGCTTTGATGTCTGAAAAAAGTGTAGTCTTTTAAGCTATTCTTTTAAGGTCTGCTGTTGGAAAAAAAACAAAATGCATCAAAGTATTGACTATACTTTAAAAAACTGAACAATTCAGTGTTCTTGTCGGATGCTTAAAATACTTACAGAGTTCCCAAATGAACCTTGGAAAGCCCTGCAGAGAGTGCTGTGTGGTTTTGATATCTTGCCATAAATTTAGATGGACTTCWATTCTGAAGTCCTTTTGTCTAAAAACTTTCTCCCTTCACATGACACCGGCAGCAGTATGAAAGTCCTGGCTGCTCTCTGCAGCTGATTGTGCCAAGCAAGAGCACCAAGGTCTGTAGAAACCAGCCCAGTCCATTGACAAGTSCTTTGGTTTGCAGCAGTTCCCAAATGTGACGCAAGCAGCAGCTCCCTGTGGGGTTCCCCTTCCCAAAGGATCTCTCCAGATGAAAATTCTCTGAAAATCTGGGTCAGATGGTGAGAGGAATCAAATACTGTTGGATGACTTTTGAGTTTTCCCTGAATGTTAGTTAACATAGTGCAGAGAGCCTGAGCCCAGGGAAGTGCCAAAACCTGGACCCCACTGGTCCCCTGAGTTTTGAGCGTGTCAATGGAGCAGATACTTGAACTGAGAGTAAACAGTGCAAGATCAAGACTCAAATGGGTCAACTCAAAGTTCTTGTCCTTTCTCTAAAGGYCCTTTGTAAGTCTGCTCCTTTCTAGTTTTCTACTTACCTGTCCTTTGCTCAAGCAGCCACACCAGCCTTGGCATCCAGTTTGATTTCTCATAATCCACCTGAACTGCAATGTGCAGGATCCCATAGCAACAGCTGTTTGTTGTTCTCTTCTTAAATGAAGCCTGCAGAAAACCAACCAGGCAGCAGTGATGTGATCTGAGCAGATCACCTTGTGATCCTTCCTTGATTTCCTTTGCCCTGGTTACTGTTTGGTCCTTTTTCAATGAGTCCAAGTCAAGTAGCAAGTTGACAACGATCCCTGTGTTCCCTGGTGTCTGTTCTTACCCTGTGTCTTCTTTCATTTCCCACACTTCCAACAATGCTGAAAAATCTCCAAGAACTGCATTTTTCAATGTGCTTTTACACACTAAACACTATTATAATCCTAATAAATAGCAATAAATTATATATACTGTTTGATTATTTGGACTCACTAGTACAAAAGGATCCACATGATATGTATGTGCAAATATGGAATTTGGGAAAATTCCTCCAATTGTTTGTTGTCTTCTCTTAACATTGTAAATAAGATGTGCTAGAATGCTCAGAAAGTTGGTTTGTTGGGCTGTGCTGGTTCCAGGTTCCCTTTCTGGGCTGGTTTGCTGTGAGTGCTGCACTCTGCGTTATCTGCGGGGTGATGCTGGTGTTGTTATCTGAGCTTTCTTCTTCCACTGGAARGGCTTCTTCACCTGCTTCTTCTGAGTACAGGAAAGCCGTGGGCTGTGGAGCAGGTTCCACATCAGCCAGATCTCAGCCACTTTCAGGCTATGAACTACCATGAGATCCTTGTAAAAACAGGGATCAAATGTCTGTAGGTGAGGGGCAGCAGAAGGCTTGACAATGCCAAAGGTCTTGAATCCTTCGTGTAAAATGGGCTTGAGGTTGATTCTCTGTAAGCACATGCCCAAAAAGACATCRTCGATGGGGAACAGCTCCACCTCTCTGCAAGCCCTGGAGAGCCTCCTCATGGTGCGGCTGGACAGCAAAAAGCCCCCTCCTCCTGCGTAGGCTGGGTAGATGCTCAGCCCATACATGGTCTCTGGGATGTAGTATTTGCTCTTCCGGACACGGATGGGGCGGGCATTGTAGATGATGTCTCCAACAAAGAGATCTTCAGTGGGATCGTGTCTCTTGAGGAAATCAACAATGTTCTCCACATTGACAAACACATCAGCGTCCCCTTTAAAAACAAATTTCACGTTGTGGCAGAATTCAGCAGCCCAGCTGAGGAAGTGGATCTCCTTCAGGGTCAGGTTGAAGAAAGTGTCCATGAAGTCCCAGAGTAAAATGTCCCGGTACGTCTGACTCTCCTGGTGGATCAGGGTCTCCCACGTTGCCAGYGCTGTCCTATTCTTTGGTGTTCCCAGCAGGAACACTCGCTGGATCTGCTCCCCATTCACCAACCCCTCCCTGCCCCAGGTTTTCCGGACAATCTCACGCCTGTCAAAGTCTTCAACTACTGATTTGATAGCAATSAGCAGAAAGGGACCTCCCGGTGTTTTTTGGCATTTCCTGGGCTGGTTAATGAGGAGATTGAAGTTCCTGTTATCCTTGTTTAGGAGATAGAGCTTGAAATCGAAGGCAGAATCAGTCAGTGGGGGTGGAGTTGTAGTTTGGGTTCTGGTTTTGGCCACTTCTGTTTGTCTCATGACAGGGGTGCCTTGGGGTYTGGGTGCAGTTGCCTCTGCTGGCGTCGGTCTCCGAGGGGCTCTGGGATCTGAGAATATTTTCGGTGCTCCTGGAGGCTTTTTCTGTGTTGGCTCCTTCTTCCCTGCCAGGATTAAATGTTCCAGTTGGGAGTAGAGCAAAGAGCAAAGTGCTACCAGCAAGAAGAGGGTACAGAYCGCATCCCCTTTGAGGCGAACTCTCATTGTCTCTCCGGTGTTCCTGGGACTGTTAAAAGCTGTGTTTGAGCTGCCTGGCACCACTGTCCATCTGTAAATAAACACAGACTGTGTCAGCAGTGAGCATTTGGCAGGCCTGAAGCAAGCAGGCAAGACAAACTGAAATATCTTTTTAAAATCCCAGCAACAAAGCATGTTTYACTCTCACAAGCACTGAGACAAGAGGAATTTGTCAAAAGGCACACAGGGYTGCAAATTTAATGCTGATCCCAGTGCCAGCTCTGTGACTTGGTTAGCTCAGTCACTAAGCAGCCATCCATCATCCTGAAAACCACTCTCTCCAACCACAACCTAAAATCCTRCTGAACATGTTTTGCCATTTCAGAGATTTCACTGGGAAAAGCAAAGTGGAAAATGATGAATGATGCTATTCTCTCATAAATMATTTTTTTTCTAGCCTGGTAACCAWTACTTGCTGCTTTTACCCTTTTTGACTCAAACCAGGGGGAGGCTCAGAGCTGACTCTGAAGGGCAGACTCTTCATGGCAGTGTGTAGCTGGTGTTTCCCTGCACACAGAGCCAGCTTTCATTAAACCAATTACCTACTGTAATTTGTATTCAAAATTAATACACTGGGTACAATCTACAATTCACACAGGATCTTTTTCCTGCCAGTATTCTTTATAAAATATKAAACCATTGTAAATAACTTCCATTAATAAGGTTAGAAGGGGCCATGGGTGTTTTTACTCTGCCAAATCACCCCACCYCCTAAGTGAGAGGTGGGGAAAAAAATCCCAATATGTAGAAGACAGAGCCTGGTGTTAAGAAAATTTTGGTCATGTATGAACAAAATCCTGCCTTTTGAAATGCAGGATTTTTCCTCACTTACACTTTTCCTGGAGATCTTCTGTCTTATTTGATCAGTTCTTCAACTGCAAACAAAATAAGAATGAAAGAGTAGTAAGAAGGCAGCAAGCAGCAGGTAACCACAGTTCAGGGAAAGAGCTGGTCAGGTGTCTCAGGAAAGGCAGGTTCTCTCTTCACCCCTGAGCAGCAGTGGCAGAGCTGGACAGAGAGCACCCCACAGCTGCTCCAGGAGGAGGTGAGTGCCCATCAGAATTCCTACAGTCCTCAGCAAGGAGGAAGTTTAGTCCCACCCAAAAATTTCCCACAAGTGCACATCAGTATTTTATACACCCACTGATAATGGATCATGCTCATCTGTGATTTGTGGCTCTCTCTTGTCTGTGCTGTACTAGTAGAAGCTGCCTGTGAAATATTACAGTTGTCTGTCTTGAATTAGCTGARATCACTTCCAGAGACTTCTTTTTGGATGAAAAAAAAGCTAAAGAGGAACTTTTGACTAAGGTATACAGTGACAGGACAAGAGGGAAGTGCTTGGTAATAATTTGGTGGCATCTGTTGATAGCAAATCCTTTTAATGTCCTGGATTGTACCACCTGCTAATTGTTCATTAACCATCACTTTTGTATCAGCCATAATGTTGTGTTCAAGCTCAAAATTAGACTGATGAGTCTGTATTTATGAAGTAATAAAACAGTGGCACCTGTGGTATCTAAGCAATATTTCAAGACTTATGAAGAAGCAAAATTATTACACCAGTTGRTTTCTTGGCCAGCCCCTTTAAAATTCTTAGATGCACATTACTTGGACATCATTATTTAAGTACTGTGTTTTTTCATTACTGGYTAACTTAATCTCAAAGTTACCATTGAAATAGAGAGTATTTTATCATCATATGYTATTCTGTATCTTTTTCCCAAGCACAGCTCCCAAATGTTTACTGAYCTCATCTTCTTTGTCTCCATTATTTATGGAACTTTTATTTTGGCAAAGGCATATCATGCCTCGGTGTAAGGCTCTTAGCATTCCTGGTAGATTTAAAATCACTTCATCCTTGTCCTGATGACAATGTTTGTTTTTTTGGTTTTTTTTTTTCCTCAGGCCTTGTGTCTTGCCTTTTCCTGGCCTCTAATAGATGTAACTGGGTTTTTAGGGTTTTCTTTATTGGCTGGCTTTTTTTGTTTACCTTTCACTCCTCTTCTAGGCAAGGCAGATATTTTCACTGGCATAGCTTTAATACTGATAGCAGGACTGAAGAATTTTCTCAGATCTCTTGTAAATTGTTGTTCAAATGTTTAGAATATTCAGGATCTGTTTTCTGTTTATGTTCTTTCTGCCACGTGGCTTGGCTCATAGCTGTGCTCATGAAACAGTCCCAACATGTATAGGATGTTGGTTTGCATTTTACATCTGAAGTCCCTTCTCTTTCTTCACAGTAATAGCAAATTTATTTTTCCTCTTCTATGCAAAAGTKTGATCTTATTTCACTGCCAGGTTCCAGATGGTAATTAAGGAGCTGGATGAAAGTCCTGGCTTTTTCCTGTGTTTAATGTTATCGGCAAGGGTTTGGAATAAAATGTGTGTGTCATGAAACACGTAATTTCCATGGCTTACAGATTTATCCTGCCAGCATCTCAGAATCTGGCAATAAGTGACCTTGGAAAAGCCAAGAAAAACCCTGAATTGTTACAAGCCTRGGCTGATAGCCCAGATTTTCCTCTGTGTTTTCATTTGTTGAAAGTAAAGGATCTGAAATAGTGATTTCCATGCTGAAATGAAACAGTTCAGTGCTGAATATAGACCTCTCATTTTCAAAAGAAGTTGCCAGCCCTTGAAGTGATTCCTTGAGCTAATTATATGGATTTTCCAATCTTTGTTAGATATTTCCTTTTTAGGAAGGAAAATACCCTCAATTATTACACAGGTGTGAGCTCTAGCTGTGGGTATCAGTGTGGGAAAAGCTGTTCTGTTCTTGATTACAGAGGGACTGATGATTCTGGCAGACGCTCTGGTACATCCTGAAGCCAAAAAGATTATTCACCCACCTTGACAGCAGGGGAAAAAATATTACAGGGCTATCAAAGTGAGCAGGAAACACTTGATGCCAAACAAAAGAGATGTGAGCACAGCAGAGCATTTCTCAGCACATCCCTGAGTTTCCATATCCGAGGCAGATGCGCCTCTGCTCCCTCCGCCGCTGTGGGGAATCTCTGTCCAACCTGTGGAACAGAGCTGGGCTTGTGAACTGCTGCATCACTCAGTGCCTCGAGGAATGGCYTGGCTGCCAGCACTGCCTCCTGTGTCCTCCAAGCTTGGAAAAGCAGGCAGTTTTCCCTCTCTGTGCTGGCWGCCTGGGGATGGACACAGAGGGATKTTGAGTCCGGCTTGACGGGGTCTGAATGGGATAATGAGGGAGGTTTTTCTCCCCAGGACAGTGGGTTTGTTGTTGCCTCCTGGACAATGAGCACCAGCAACATTGCAGGGCTGAGCTGGGCAGTAGGAAGAGGCTGACAGGTCCCATATCTGTGAGGTGGCAAGATGGGAGCCCATAAATAAGGAATGAGTTAGAAAAACCAAGGGGGAACAGCCTGCACAGCCCAAGAGACAACAAAAGGCTGGAAAGCTGGAAGTGGGCAGAGCTGGGCATGGCACCCTGATGAGCATCCAGGCAGGGAATTTGACCTGTGCTGTTGCACACTGGGGCAGAGAGCCCAGTCCTCTGCCTGGTTTTCATTTATTTGAGAGGAGGATTCTGAAACATGGCCAAGAACAGCTGCAATAAAAGCAGTCAAATGACAATTAAAAAAAAAAAATTACTAGCCCTTCATTCCCAGTAGAATGATGTGATGTGAAGTCTTGAGCTCATCCTGTAAATCTTCTTTTGCAGCAGTCATCACATCTCCATCACCTGGCACTTTTGCTCAGGGCCAAGGTGGGAAAACATCCTGGATCCTGTCCCCAGATTCAGCCAAGAGGCCTCGATGATTCTGGCACGCTGCTTTGAGCTTTGAGGACTGGTTATTCGATCCAGCCAACCTCGAGAAAAGCAGCTGGGATAGCCAGGCAAGCTGAAAACGTGGTGTTCTGAGCATGGGGYACAAAATCAGCAGAGTTCTGCTGCCCTCTCATCCCAGCCCGGCTCATGGAAGTGTCCATCCTGCCCAAGCTGTGAGGTGTCCCTGGAACATCATGCTGCCCTGCTGGATGGGAAGGGCTTCCAGCTCCCTCCTGAATCCCTCCTCGCTCCTGATGTGGAGCTGCCTCTGGTAGGTGTGGGTGGGCAGCAGAGGACACTGTGACCATGCAATGCAGGGCTGTGGTTGCTGATGGATGTGTCTTATCTGTTTCTCCGTAAAATGAACTAAAGAAAGTGTGCGGGATCCAGCACTGATGGGTTTGATGAGGTTTTTTATAATCATTAGAGAAGTTTGTATAGTTCTGGGTGGTGGGGATGCTTYGAGGCAATGCTTCTGTTTTGGGATATTTRTTTTCATTTCATGYTGGCTGAATGCATTTCACAAGAACMAAGTCATCTTGTAGCAASCAGAGCTGGATACTTAGACCTGCCTGGGGTCTGGCCTGCAAGGRGAGAAGTCTGCCTTGTTTCCAGCAGCTTTTCCACTTAAATTCCTTCAGCAAGAGCAAAGCAAACCCTCAGAACTCTCCTCACCTTGTTCCTCTGYCTCAGGAAGAGTCCTGACACGGCTAAAGAAACAAAAAGTGATGCTGAATGATTTAATCTTCTTGACTAGAAGGCAGAGGTGGCTGAAATACAGAGACACCCTTTGGATGTTGAGAAGTGCAAAGCCCTAGGAAAACGAAGTAACTAAAACAATCACTGCTTCCTTGCCAGATAGAAACTCATCCTATTCAACTGCTTACAAGTTCTGAAGTCTATAAACAATGTCTTGAGAGCTATCCCAGGGGCTGRGATGATAAACCAGAACCAAAGGAGCACAGTGAGAGGGGCAGGGCTCAGCTGCACACGATGGCACAGCTCGGACACTGTTGGTCACTGTCACAGTCACAGCACTGCAGCATCACCACTGCTGTGACTTGCTGTTGCAGGACCTGGAGACAAAAGCTCTGTTGAGTCAAACACTGAGGAAGCAGGTAACAAAATGCAGGCCCTGCTCCAAAGACAATTTCCAACTTTCCTGTTGGAGCTGCTTTTCAGGGCGTTTTTTTCCCCCAGACCAGAGCAAACGAATGGATGAGATCCATGGTGTTACAGGACAGGGTGCCTTATTCATCTGCTTGCCCCAGTGCTTAAATATGTCGTTTGATCAGCTTCCCAGCCAGCTGGTCCCATTTGGTTGCAGTTTCTCCTGTTGGCACTGCAAGSATTCCTTTTGCAATGCCAGTCACGTTGGATAACTGCTCACAAATGGCTGCTGCGGTCGCTCCTTTCACCTTCCGCCCCAGTCACGAAGCTTTGACAAAGTGTACAAARTTAAATGCAGAGGAGCTGCAGAGGTGTTGAGATGTTCCATGTGCAGGGGTCCCAAAAAGGAACCTGCCAGTCCTGGTGCGGTAGGAGAGCACATGGGAGCCCCGCGGACCCTGGAGCCGGCAGGACTGAGCTCCGGGAAGGGCTGGTGCCAGCGCTCTGCTCCCCTCGCCTGCCGGCCCAGTGTAAATCCCTCAGGCACAGTTTGGGGGCTGCAGCTCATTTCAGCAGTCCGTGATGTCCATTCCGAGGCAGGACACGCCATGGGGGCAGTGTCCATGCAGAACTGGCTGTGCCAGGCACCCGTGCTGGGCCCAGCACACGGGGAGAGCTGCGGCTCCTTTCTCATCTCTCATGAGAGTCATCAGCAGGTAGCACACAGTGATCCTTTGCAGGCTYAGCAGCCTCCAGAGGTACTCTCCTAAATTCAGATGCAGTCTTGCTCGTTCGTAGTCTGATTGTCAGAATGGCAGAGGGTTCAGCAGCTCAACGCACATCCTGCGTGTTTTGGGGAGACAGAGCCCTCCCAAATACCCAAGGTGAGGAACCTGCCCTCTCCCAAACATTCAGTTTTCCGGGCTCCCGGAGGAGAATAAAACCTGGCAGGCTTGTGAAGGGCTAAGAAACAGTCCCCTGGGACAAGCACCTTCCTTTCCCAGCCCTCCCCAGGCTGCGATGGTCGCCACCTCTTCAGCTCCCAGATCCTCTTCTGTTCTGATAAATAACTTGCCTGATGCGSCCCAAACCCAAACAATTGCAGTGTATTAGCATGGATGTATTGATACACCCACGCGCAGATGGGAGAGGGAGTAGTGCTGATGTGCCCCACTAATTTCAAGATTATACCAAACATGTAAGTTATCAGAATCTGCCCAAACGCTGTTAAAAAATGTGATCAGTAACTGTTTCACAGGGGCTAAATTATTTTCTATCTTTGGGACACTGGAGAGATTGAAAATTCCCATATTTTGCTCAAAGCATACCACAGTGTAACAAGGGCAAAAWTCATGTCCTTTTACTGGCGAAGAATGGCTTGTAAATGTAACGTGCCACCACTGGAACATGTTTGTGGTTGGGAGGAAACCCCGTCTCAAGCACTGCAGGCATTGTCTAAAGAAGCCCCAAACTTCTGTAAAAACAACCTAAACATTCAGATAAAGTCCTTTGGAAAGTAAAGTGTAAAGCAGCTGTCTCAGGGCTGGAGCCTGCGTGTTCAGAGCCTGTAGCCCACCCTGGTGCGTGTTAACCACCACGGTCCAGGTTGCTGCATGCAACAACATTCAAAAGAAACGAGGCAAAACAAAAGCTGGGAGCAAAGGAAAGCAGTCAGGACAGTCTCGAGTTCACCCTGCTCGCTGCACAACYCTCCCGAGCCCACCCTGATCAAACACACTTAACAGATACTTACATCCCATTTGATAGCGCTGATCCTGCGTCCCCTCGGTAATGTCTCGGCAGCGGGCTGCCAAGTAGGCACATCTGGATGTGGTTAGTGCGAGACATTCCTCAGCCTCCCAGCGAAACCGAGGAAATCCTCGGGGCGCGGAGCGGTGCTGACTGCACGGCGCTCGGGGCCGTTGCCCCGCTGGCAGCGAGCGGAGCCCCGGCCCGGCCCGGGGTTGGGGTTGGGGTTGGGGTCAGCCGGAGGGGCTGGAGGGGCTGGAGGGGCTGGAGGGGCCGGGCTCGCCGTGCACAGCGCACCCTCCACAGCGAGGGAACGGGAACGGGAACGGGAACGGAGCGGGAACGAGCGGCTCCACGGCCGAGCCCTGACACGTGATCGGGCTGGGGAGCGCCCATGGCTCCAGCGGGACAGGGCGGAGGTGTCGGCAGAGGGAACGCACGGCCAGGTTGGGGACTTACACCAATTCTGAAAAAAGGCGCTTTTTTTCCCTTTTTTGTTACACCTTGTAACTTTTTTTTAATAGGAAATGTACTCATTTTTCTGACTTTCTATTTCTTTTTTCTTCTACACTTTGGCTTTTTTTTTCTTTTAATCTTCTATTTAATTTTAAATATTTCAAAACAAATTTTATTTGGAGCAAAATCTAAGTTGCCATCTGACAGCTGAGTGCAACCATAACACTTCCTATCGCTGTGGCTGTTTCTTTGTCTCTGCAGCATAAACAATGACTTTTATTCCTCTTACAGAGACCAAGTGTCTGGAGAGTGCCCAGACCACAGCCACTTCAGGAAGCAAAGCTTTTCATTTACAGTGAACTTGTTGTAAAAGCAGGTTTTGATCTACTCTGTTGTTTCACAAACACATCTTTTTAAAACAGAATGTAAAAATCCCTTTTTTGTAAGTATCTGTGCTTTTTTTGGTATACGTTTGATTTCAGCTCAAAAGCTGTGCTTTGCTGAACACACTGTCAACATGAAGAATGGGTTCCTGATGGGCCACCCCCTGACCCTGCACTCAGGTGCTGCAGGCTGGGAAAGTCCTTTCCTCATGATCAGCAGCTGCCCGAACCACAGTAGTTCCCTCCAGAACAGCTCAGCTGATCAGAAGCCTCAGCCATAAATGTTCCTTAGCTGCAGCTTTCCCTGTGCCAGCCCAAGGTACCTCTGTTCTTTCTCTCTGCAGCCCCACCCCAGGCTACTCTTCATCCCTGCTCTGTAAGGAGGCAGATGATGGTCACAGASACAAAGACCAGGCTCCTGCCTGCCTTTGCTCAGAGGAACTGTCTGTTGAGAGAGGGGGTCTGCTCCCTGAAACCACCAGGAACTCACAGCAGGTATTTCCACCATGATCCTTCACCCAGGTTTTGGGACCCTTTTGTCTTGCTTCTATGGGTAAGAGTGAAAACAGAGACAGTGCCTTTGTGCCCACCGTGGCTTGGAGAATCACACAGAGCTTGGACATGGAGTAGTTCCTCTGGATGCTCCTGCCTGGTGGTTGTCTCACTTGTACCTTGTTCCCTGGGCACTGATCCATGGCTGGTTTATTCCTCTCACTGCCAAGGTGCCCTTGGTCCATCCTGTGATGTCTGTCTGTCTCTGTCTCACAACATCACTGACCTCCTCTGTCAGTCAGCCCTACAGAACACAACCAGGTCGGTGTGYTTTTCCAGCTGCTGTAGGGCAGAGCCCTGCTCCCCTCGCTGTATTCCTGCAGGCACCAAGCCATGCAGCTGGGAATACAGCTTGGTGCTAGATAAAGAAGGGTTGTTCTTGCAATTTTCAAAGAGTGTCTGAGATTTAAGAGATTCAGGGTGTAATACAGCTCTGCTCAAGTTCATGGCAAAAGGAATTTCCCTGGATTCAGCAGTCAGGTCAGCCAGTGGCTTACTGTGCAAAGCTGCTGGAGATTTTTTGTCCAAGCTCCTTGGCTCCCCACCTACGAGGCAGCCTTAGGAGAGAGCTCACTGGCAGAGAGGCACTCGGGATTAGAGCATGCTGAGGCTTCACAGGAGTCCCAGGCATCCAACAGCACTGAAAGAAACACAGGGAGCTCCTCCAGGTGCCAGGGTGGGACAAACCTCCCCTTCTGGCCATGCTGGCTGAAAAAGGCTCWTCAGAGTAACTGGAAATTGAACAAACACGGTGGCTTGGATTGGTGTTGCAACCAGAGCCGTCCCCTTGCAGTGGGACACCAGCCTTGGCATGTCAGGAGCAATGTGTGGCTTTGGGCATCCACCCTCAGGATGGATGCTCCTCTGGAGCTGGTGATCACCAATGTGGCCAGAACTTCTGTGAGCCCTGTTTTTATTGCAGTAAGTGTTCAATCAAAGTCTCTGAGGCAGTTTTCATCAAAAGTATATATTTATTTATAAAAAAGAATGGGGAAAATATATACCAAAGTGCTTTTTCTATAAAAGACAATTCMTTGGAGGTTGAATATCCTAGACCCAAGTATAGGCATTGCAGTCCACAGCTGTGGATGGCTGATCCAGATCTGATGCTGAATATCATGGGAATTTGGAATTAGAAGGTCACCAAGGGATTTTTTCACTGATAATTACAGGACTTCAGCCACACAYCTCTTACAGGCATCTGTTAGAGATGTATGGCCACATCCCTTCAGTGGGTTTAAAATTCAATCTAGAGAAGAAAAAAAATACATAATTTTTGATTCCRGACCTTACATTTCTTCACTGTTTGGGTCCATCTCTGTACAAAAGGCACATGGCCAGACCCCTGTCTGGTGTAAAGCACCAATGGCATGCACACTCTCCAATATGTGGGTTAGACTCAGGAAACCCTCTCGATTCCTGTTCTTGTACCTCAGTTTTAGGATACTGGATACAATACCAGAGGTTCAGGGCTACACCAGAATTTTCAGTTAAACTACATTAGAAATTTAATTGAATTTGAGGCTCCTCATTCTGTCTGTGCTCATTTCTGGTTTCAGAGTCTGTGGGCAGCTGTCAGGGCATGGTTTCTTTGGGGACAGCAGAGGGGAGACAGTGACCCAGGCAGCAGGACAGTTCCTCAATGCTGAACATGGCTTTGAAATAAATAGGAAAATAAACAAATACTTTCCTTTGAGACAATTTTTTATCAGGGTATGCTGTCAGGTTTGCTTCTATCAGATGCCTYATGTCAAAGTATATCTGGTGAGCATTTTAACTTTACTCTCCTCTTTGTTATCATCTGTTTGAACACTGTAGCTCAGCTATGTCAAAACAAATCATTCAAATTCCCCTTTGGATCMATTTTTTATTCCTTCTGGCAGACTGAAAGGAGACTCCTTCAAATCTAAAACATGGTTAAAACTACAAAAACAATCTGTACCACAAAAAAAAGCCCTCTTGGMTCGCTTCCTGTAGGCGCATTTTGGCCTGGTTTCTGCTGTTTGGTTTATATTATTTCTATTTCAGATTTTATATGCAACTGATTAGCACCTTTATTTGCTTTTAATATTGTGTTTGATTCTGAAACACCACTATCACCCCTGWTTATTTTTTTTTCACAGATATATCTCATTATATTGAGAAGAGCACTTATTGGGATAAGGCCTAATTCTCCAGCAGCAGCACTGCCCATGGCTTATCTCCCACCAGGATGATGTCTGGTCATGGAAAAGGAGGTATGAAACAGCCACTGCTATGTCCTAAACCATGCCATGTTCTCAAGACAATTTCACCATGGAATATTACTGGAAAACCCTTTTCCTTCAAGTCTCTGCAATGAAGGCACCTGTGAATGCTGTTAAAGATTATGTTATTCCAGAAAGGTTGCCAGGAGTTCCAGCACTTAATGGCACTTCTGAGAGGGAGTATGTGAGTAAGAGGAAATACACATGCCAATTGCTGGCAGAGGAAGAAAATGCACAAAGCTTGCATTCAGAAAAAAGCATTAATGGTTAGTCCTCTGTAACACAGTAATAGCAGCAAAAAAGTTTTCTGGACTTGAAGTAGATGCTGAATAATAAGACTTTCTCATTTTGTGCATTAACAGCTGCTACAAAATCTAGTAATTCTCACTACTCAGTGGCTGCCTTRTAACTATATGTGCAAGTTGTGCACATGAATAGCTTGTCTGAGAAATAGTCATTAAAAATGAGACAGACTATGCATATGACCTTTCTTTAAAAAATAATTTTTGCAAAATCAAGAGCAAACTCTCTTGTGGTTAAAGTAATTTTCAAGTTTCTGATCTTTAGATTTTTTAAAAGATGATTTGTCAGGTGGGTTTCTATCAAACAGAGCTCCCCAACTGTAATCTGGCAGGAAAGCCAAATGCTTTGAGGTATGGTTCCACAKCAGCCTAAATGAGCTAAGACCAGCAACACTGTGTCAGTCCCAAAAGCAAGACTGTCAGAGAGGTAATTGCTTCATTTTGGGACGAGCCCTGGTACTGCTGGAAGGGGGAGATAGGATGTGGAGCAGGAATGGAGGAGATGAGACTGCAATGGCACTGACATAAAATGGCTTTATAAAAGGTRATGGAGCCCCAGCCTTTGCAGAGATGGTGCCTGCACGAAGTCCTGCTTCCTCTGAAGTTAAGAGCAAGATGGAAGCAGATTCACTCACACCCTGAAAACCTTCTCCCCATCCTTAACCCCCTTCCTTTCCTTTCTTGGCTCTGTATGTAACTYTTGGGGTTCAAAATCAGCACAAAACAAGTCATGTTCCTCAGGCTTACACTGAGGAATGTGATACTCAGCTCATCCAAGGCATGTGGATCCCAACTGGGTCGAAGCTGAATATCTAAATCCCACCCATCCAGCTCTCCAGTGACTGGTGCTCCCAGCAGGCGTTCCAGCAGGAGATAAGGGAGCAGCTCCAGCCCCAGGAGCTCAGATCTGAGCCCCCACCTCTATCCAAGGTTGTAATTCAGCAATTCCTCCTTGCTGAATTACAGCTTTGACTCCAGGGAAGGATTAAAATGCAAGTTGTGGTTTAAAAGGCCATGAGGCCCTGACTCTGAGCTGGTCCTGCCATGACTTCCAGCAGCCTGACATTCGCAGGTGCACACAGACTTTGTGTGTGCAGCCAGAGCCACCCTCTGCACCTGAAATCGTTTCCATGGCCCACTGGCTACTCCCACAGATGGAAAGGGCAAAAAAGGATCCAATTATTGGAAAARGATTAGTAAAAACCTATCAGGAAAGCACTGTGAATGTGTCAAAGGTAATTGAGCTACTGTTGTTCTTCATGGGATCCATGTCATGCCAGACACTGTTGCTGTGTGCTTTGTTMGGGCAAAGGTGCATCTGCTCTGTTGCAGCATGCATTCAGCCATAGCAGGCAACACTCAGCTTCTCCCACTGGATCTGAAAGCAGGAGTCAGCCCTGGCGTTTGGGAGATTTGTCTCTTAAGCCATTTTTACCCTAAAAATCAGTGCAGGTAAATCCAGGCACGGTGGCTGGTGCTCARCTGTCACACAGTGACAGCAGTGCCAGGGAAAGACTCTGTGCGGGTCCTGATGCCCGTGGGACACAGCAGTGTGAGCTGTGCAGAAGTGAGTGAAAGCAGGAACAGCCAGCTGGGTCAGGAATTGCTCAGCTCTGTGGGCTCAGGCTGGCATTTGATGCTGCAGTGCCCCTGAGGCCAGCAGTTCCACTCCATGCCCCACAGGTAACTTGCTGATGAGGAGATTGTTTCCCTTCCAGCACTGTGTTTTTCCATAACTGCAGGCTCCCTCAGGCTGGCAAGCAAGAGCTAAGCACACTGTAGTCAATGTACTGCTGTGTACCACAGATCAGAAAAAGCTGAGAAGCATTGTCTGAATTTGAGTTTGTCCATATTGTTTGTACACTGCCTGACATTTGTTCTACAGCAGCAATCTCATGCCCTGTGAAAGATTATGGCTGTCTCAGGTAGAAGGAAAACCTTCAGGTGGTGAGAGYTGGGAAGGAGCTGTAATAGACCAGGGCAGGACAGATGCACTTCCCACAGATGTTCCTTGTTTTTCAAACAAAGAAAGAAAATAACGTAAAATGGACTTCTCCTTACTTTCTTCGTCTCTACTTGATGTCATGCCTGAGGGCAAAAATGTTTCCAATATAGAAATATATTGCATCTCTCCAGGTGATGGTCCAGGACACAGCCAGGCATTGAAGCAGTGGCACTGTCTGCTTCCCAGAGAAATTCTGTGAGAAGCCTCCCTTGCTTTTCTCCTCTCCCTCATTCTCCCCTAGGGCTCTCTGGCTGCTTCCCTGTCACAGTCCTGAAGGAAGTCAGGGTGAAAGCCCCTCTCACCACTTCATAGGAAGGTAGTGCTGATTTCTGGAAACACAATGAAATAAGCAAAGTCAGAGGTCCATGCTGACTTCTGCAAACACAGAACCTCTTCCCTGAGCATTCCCATCTGGATGGAAACCCGTGGTGATTTTCAGGACTTTACATTCCCAGACACTGGCAGCAGTTTCATACAGTAGCTAAAGCAGGAAAGCCCTTAGCAATGGCACTGTCCTTGGGCTCTAGGAGCAGTCCTCATTGGAATGGAGGCCCAAAAGCTCCTCAGCCAAGCTGATRAGACTGTTTTCTTCCAGGGCTGCAATCAGCCGTGCTATCGTGGCCTTCTTCCCCTCTGACTGGATGAACCTGAGGAGCATYTGATAGGCCTGTTCATAGAGTCCCTCTCGGTCGTACTCCAGAGCCAGGTTGTCAATGACGGGGTCGCGCAGGGCCCGGCAGGATTTCTGCAGAGAGCGACCCACTTGCTTCCACTTCTTGGACACGGACTTGGCAAACTTCTGGTGATCATCTGGTGTGATGGTTCTGTTGTCTGAAAGGGGCAGAGCGCAGGTAAGACACAGAAGTTTCATGGCTGATGTGATGCAGCTGAGCCAGTTMAAGATTTGGTCAATATTCTGAGGAGTACAGAGAGTGAGCCCCCTGCTTTGCCCAGGCAAAAGAAAACCTCCCACAGCAACAAAGCATCTGGGCTTGCCCCTACCTGCCAGCTTGGCAAGACCTATTTTCCTTTTTTCTCCCTCAAAACTGTTCTGTGGTTTGCCAGAACACTTTTTTTTTTTTTTTTTTTTTTTT